CCCATCCCCCAGGGCAGGGGTTACATGTAGATCATTGTGATCAGTTCTCCCTTCCCTCCCTCCCCCCTTCCCCCTCTGCTCCTGGTATCGCTACTCTCATTATTGGTCCCGAGGGGTTTATCTGTCCTGGATTCCCTGTGTTTCCAGCTCTTATCTGTATCCCTGTACATGGTCTGGTCTAGCTGGATTTGTAAGGTAGAATTGGGGTCATGATAGTAGAGGGGAGGGCATTAAAGAACTAGAGGAAAGTTGTATGTTTTATCAGTGCTATACTGCACCCTGGCTGGCTCATCTCTTCCTGTGACCCTTCCGTAAGGGGGTGTCCAATTGTCTCCAGATGGGCTTTGGGTCTCCACTCTGCATTCCCCCTCATTCACATCGATATGATTGTTTTGTTCTGGGTCTTTGATGCCTGATATCTGACACCTCATGATCACATAGGCTGGTATGCTTCTTCCATGTGAACTTTGTTGCTTCTCAGCTAGATGGCCACTTGTTTGTTTTCAAGCCTTTAAGACTCCAGATGCTACATCTTTTGATAGCCAGACACCATCAGCTTTCTTCACCACATTTGCTTCACCACATTTACTATGTACCCATTTTGTCTTCAGTGATCGTGTTGGGAAGGTGAGCATCATGGAATTCCAGGTTATTAGAATAAAGTGTTCTTGCATTGAGGGAGTACTTGAGTAGAGGCCCAATGTCCGTCTGCTACCTTAATACTAAACTTACAAATATATGTACATAGATCTATTTCCCCATCATCATATATAAATATATTTTTATATGTACATGCCTGTATTTAGACCTCTATAAATGCCCTTTGCCTTCTAGTTCTTTCCTCTATTTCCTTTTACTTTCCTCTTGCCCCACTATCATGTTAGGCTGTCACTTGAGTTTCAGTAATTCCCTTCAGTCACATTGCCCTTGATCAAGCCCTACCAGGCATCCTACGCCCTCCTTGCCATTGATATTTGGATCACTTGTGCTTCCCGTGTCCCTGGGTTTATTAACACCCACTTCCTCCGCCCCCCCTTCCCCTCCCCTGTGCTCCCCACCCCCACGAACCATCGGTCTCATTGTTTTCTCCCTGGTTTATTCCGCCTATCTTATCTAGATAGACCTGCAGAGACAGTTATAAGCCCCAAAACAAGACAGAGCAAAAGAAAACAAAAAACCAAAATGACAACAATACCAAAAAAATGACAAAAAAGAAAAGCCTATAAATAGTTCTAGGTCTGTTTGTTGACCTTTAGGAGTGTTTTCCAGTGGAGTCTGCTGGGGTGCCACACCTGGCTCCAAAGTCTATTTTTTTATATTCCCTGGGGACTTCATTGCTTTGCTCCCCTTGCTGCTCTTTTGCACGCCCGTAGTGTTTCACCCCAGTGCGGTGGGGTCAGATGGGGCACAAGTCCCACCCTGTGCCTCCAGCGTTGTCCCCCATAGTGATATGGGTCAGTGAGGCACGTCTTGTCTCGTGGTGGGGCCGGCCCTATGGTAGAGGAAGGCTCATGGACAAGGTGAGGTATGCAGATGACACAACCTTGCTTACTGAGGAAGTCATAAACCACTGGCTGATGAAGAACAAGGATTGCAGTTCAGTATGGATTACATCCTTCAGTACGGATTACAATTTAACATAAAGAAAACCAACAGTAGGTAACATCATGGTCAACAGAGAAAAGATTGAAGCTGTGGAGGATGTGGTCTGGCTTGGATCCATAATCAATGCTCATGTAAGCAGCAATCGAGAGGTCAAAGGATGCATTGCATTAAGCTAATCTGCTGCATGAGAGCTCATTAAAGTGCTGAAAGGCGAGGGTGCTACTTGAGAACTAATGTGCGCCTGACCCAAGCCATGGTCTTTTCAATAGTCTCGGATGCATGTGAAAGTTGGACATTAATACAGAAGACTATAGAAGAATTGGTACATTTGAATGATGGTGCTGGTGAAAGTCCCATGGACCACCAGAAGTACGGCCAGAATGTTCCTCAGAGGCAAGGACGGCAAGACTTTATCTCATATACTTGAACATGTTATCAGGATGTGAGGGGGGGGCAAGAGGGGTCCTGCCAGTGGTGGCCACATGTTCTGTAGTGATCAGGACAGTGAGGCTGAGCTAAAGCGGCCCTGCTGGAGCTGATCCCTGAGGGGCTTCACCCAGAGAGCAGAGGGAGCCCAGGAGAGCCTTGGGGAGAGGATGGCAAGGTAGACCTTCTCAATGCCATTGGGCAGAGACCATGACCTTGAGATTTTTCAACCTGCTTGGGCCTCTTATTCTGTTGGCTCTGGCCAGGGTCACAAAACACACCCTGAGTAGGTGGAGACACCAGCCATAGGAAGGACCAAGGAAAAGACCTCTGGGAACTCCAGGCATGAAGGCCTGTCCAGAAGTGGGACCCAAGGGGACCTACCACTAGAACATTCATACCACCACCAGCAACCCCCACATCATCACCACCACCATCATCATCACCCACACCATCACCATCACCACCATCACCACTCATATCATCACTATTACCACCACCACCACCACCACCGTCGCCTCCTCCATCACCACAAACCAAGCTGACTCCTTTGACCATCAGCGGATGCTTTCAATGTTTTGCTGTCCCTCATTTTACGTTTTACTGTGGAGAAAACATACATAGTGAAGTATTAACCGTCTCACCCATTCCACATGGACGATGATTCAGTATTCGCCTGGATGTAATCGCACACCCACGCTTACCAATCATAAAACACAACTCCAAAGACAAAGCGTCACTGTGCATCTCACCACTCCGAGGACCCTCTGCGTAGTATTTGGGCACTCAGAGTTCTCACCCTTTCCACAGATGCATTATGAAAGGCTAATCGGTTTTTTTAAATCATTTTATTAGGGGCTCATACAACTCTTATCACAATCCATACACACATCGATTGTGTAAAGCGCATTTGTACATTCATTGCCCAAGGCTCATTGTTTACATGGTGAATCCAGGGCTCTGCTAGAGCTATGAAGTGAAAGGGTTAAGGATCTTGTTTCACTTTACCACCGAGGAGGCAGCAAGATGTTCTGGGAAAGCCTTTATGAAACATTGAACAGGGTGTGTGAAGGGACCCCAAACCGGGTCCTTCCACGGTGGGAAATAAACATGGACCCTCCACTGCAGAAACACGCCTGTCTCTAGATAGGAAATACTCCGTATTGATCCGCAATCAGGGTTGCCCAGCGGTGCACAGGCAGCGAGGCACCACTGCCCAGAGTCTGCGCTGTGCAAATGCTGCACCACAGACTCCCGGGCAGAGGCGCTGAGAGAGTGCTGAGCAAGGAAGCCCGCATCCCCGGTGCACTCACAGGAGGCAGGAGGACTGTCTGTCTGTCTGTCTGTCTGACTGACTGACTGACTGGGAGACGTCTCAGAGCAGCATGGGCGGATGGCAGGAGTAGCTCTGCGGCTGAGGGAGGTGCTGACTTTGGGCACATTTGGATATGGTTTGAATAGATTGGTGGACTGTCGCCAGCGTGTCCTTAGAAGCAAGGGCGGTGAGACTTTGGCTCACTCATAGGTCATGCCGAGGGACCAATCACTAGAAAACATCAGTGAAACCCAAGGACACTGTCCACAGAGGCACCAACGCAGCAGCCCCAACAATGGGCTTAAATGGACCAACTGTATGAAGATGGCACAGAGTGGGCATCTGCCTACTCGGACACCTGGAAGTTCCCCCGAGGACCCTGTTGGGCACCCCCACCCCAGAGCAGGGAGGACAGCACCTGTGGAGTTTCAGAAACAAGTGTCAAGGGCTGGACATGTGTAAGGTCTGGTGTCTCCATTAAGATGGGTCTCTCAGAAGCGGGGCCTCACTGGGACCAGGCAAGGATCTCAATGGCAGGCGGGGTTGCTGAAGGAGGTCTGAAGCAAAGCCACTGGACAAGGGGGGCCCTTGCACAGTCAGGAGATCTCTTGTTCTGGAAAGGGGGTTAGTTGAGGCGTTAGGACAAATGGATTTGCAGGGAACCCTGAACATAAACAGTAAGCTTCTGCAGCTTGATCTTCCTGGGCAAGAGCTGGCGGGAAGAGTTGTCGCTGTTTTGTGTCAGTTCTTGTTCAGTGCAGCGGAGTCCACTGAGATGCCCGGCATTCCGTCTGATGTGAGCAAGCAGTGCTCTCCTAGCAGCATCTTACAGTGGCCGGAACAAGAAGGCTGGGGCGACGTAGACGGTGCAGTCCTGGTCCTCTTACACCACGTGGATGCGGGTGTCCTGTTCTCACGGGGAACACGGCCTGAGGGGACCATGCTACATCTCTGAGCCGCACCTTCACGGCCTGTGGGCCGATTCAGGGCCAGTGCTGATGCAGGCAGGGCATGCTTGCAGACAGATGCTGCTTCTGCTGCCTGCCACGGAGGAGGAGCTGCCCTATCTGGGTGCTGGTCAACATCTGCTATGTGGCCAGATGCTGTCCAGGGCTGGGTGAGCCAGCCATCTGTCTCCCTCCCCTCTGGGGTGCCAGACAAGGACCATGGGGGGGGGGGGGGTAAGGTTGTGATGAGCAAAGTAAGGCAGGTGAGGGCTGCAGGGGCAGGGCCTGCTTTTGGGGGAGGGGGGGGCACGCTGTGGTCAAGTCATCATAGGTATTTGTTTCTAAACGCCAAGCAGACTGGATCAGAGTGAACGCATGACGGTCGAGATGCACATGTCCCAGTCTATGCATGCCCACAGCAGGGGCTTCATTCCAGCAGGCATGATGGCTCTGGGCCTCACCCACACCGGGCAAGCCGAGGAGCGACAATTCTAGCCCTTTCACAATTATTCTGTCTTTAAAGGGCACTGCTCTGGGAGAGAGAGAGGAAGGGAAGGTGTTCGCAGTGTCTGCTGGGAGCAGAACTGCCAAGATCTCCTACACCTCCCAGTGGGCTGCAGGGATGGAGGGAGGGGAGTCTGTGGCTTTCAGCAGGTTGTAGTCTCCCTTGCTGTCCCACAGTGTCTGTTGGCCCTGTGCCACTGGACTCAGGATGGGAAGGTGGGTGCCTCGGCCAGTGGGCGGGACATGCTCTGGATGGCCCACTGCAGGATGCCGTCGAAGGAGTGCTGCAGGACAGGGTGGGGATGAGGGGCTCAACACCACCGGAGAAACCCTGGAAAGGAGTGTGCCACCCACGGCCCACAGGCCTAGCCTCACGGACACGCAGGAGTGTGGGCAGCATGGCACAAAGGCCGTGCCCATCCTGGCAGGAGGAAGACCCTACATCCAGGGTACCGTCCTGCATCCTCAGAGTTTAAGCCAAGCCAACACCTGGAGGTGTCCTCCCTGGAGTGAGGGCGGCGAGCTCACTCCCCAATTCCCCACAGAGGCCTAGGCTTCCCTAGGACTGGGGCCATATGGTAAGGCCCCATGTCACAGCTGAATAGGGGTGGTCTGCAGCTCTATTTCTCCATACTCTGTCAGGACCCACACACTCTCCAGGACTACAGCATCTTCAGCCAGCCTCTCTGGTCACTCCGCCCCCCACCCCCAGGACCCCTGGAGTCCTTGCCTGAAGATCTGCCCAGACCACCTGCAGCAGAGGGGCAGCCTCCCCCCTGATATTATCTGCGACCGTGACTAGTAGTGTCTGACCCATTGTGGACATCTGGGTCCTGGGAATGGCTGGACCTGTATCTTCTGCAAAGGAAGACTCCAAAAAGCCCCCGTTGCTCCCCAGGGTGGAACGTGACTCGGAAGCAGAGAGATCTTGGGAAGGGCAGGGGTTCTGGGGCCACAGTCACCTATTTGAATGTTATGACCTTGGAGTCAGGCTTGAGCTATCCCAGTTCACACCAGGTGCCAGTGCTGAGCCCCCAGGGACCCAGGGCATCTGGGCAGAGGAGGAGGAGCTGTATCCGCCGATGGCGGGCCCTGTGCATAGTGATGTGTGCCTGTACCTGGAAGGTGTGGATGCCCCCAAAGAAGCAGGGGCAGCCGCCTGCCAGGCCCCAGAACCCTGTGGCCCAATCCCTGAGCCTTGGTCCTGGCTGCAGTACCTCACTCAGGAGAGACTCCAAGTCATCCCTGTGCAGGACAGCTTCCTGGCCGGCAGAGTCGTCCCTTGCCTGCAACCCAGGAGAGGGGAGAGGTTAACCCAACTCCCACCACCAGACTGACCCCTGCATGGAAACAGGGCTTGGGCAGTAGGATCATGCCTACTACACCCGCCTGCTGCAGCTGGGGCGGAACCCTTGGAATGAGGGCTGGATGTGACTGGCCCTGAAAGAGGGGGGTTAGGAGGCAGGTGTAGGGGCAAAAGAAGGGCTTGGACTATGCACTGTAAAACTGCCTTATACTTTGCACTACAACACAAAGGACAGGTCTTTGCTGTTGGGAGTAAAGAACCCCAATGTCAGTGATGGAAGCGGCTGGATCCGGAACCTTCAAACGCAAATGGGTAGGAAGATGAGAGAGGCTCCGAGACAGATGTGTTCAAGGCAAAGGCAGATGTGGGCCATCAAGGTCCATACACGCCCAGCTTCATGCTTGCCCCAGTGCCCACCCAGAGGAGTGTGAGGGTGGACTTTAGGGGGGAACTGCCCCTCGAGCCCCCAAAGATTTTCTGAAGCCACCGGGGGATGACAAGAGGCTCCTTCTTATCTGGGGGACTTGAGGAGGCTTCCTGTCCCCTGTAGTGCCCCAGCGGCGTAGCACCAGGCATGAGGATGTAGCACTCAGCTTGGGGACAAGCCCCATTCTCACTCTGCTGCCGATCAGACCTCAGCCTATTGCTGGAACATGCCCCCCCTTCCCCATGCACACACCAGAGAAAACTGTCTGCATCTCTCCCCCCATATGGTAAGTGGTATTTTCAAGGCAGAAAGTGTTATGATCTAGGGCCTCAGCTGACCCTTTGCCTCTGGGCAGATCTCAGCTGAAACCTGGGGGAGGCGAGAGATACAGGTGGACGGATGAGAGGGGGGGGGAGGGGAAGTAAGAGGGCTCAGAAGGAGGCAGGGACTGTGACTGCTCACTCCTCTGAGTGTGGCACCTCCTTCCTGAACCCCACGCAGCGAGCAGGCTCCCAGCTCTTCAGGGGCTCCGGGTGGAGACTTTGGAGAGCCTCGGGTCCACACTGCTTATGAAAGAGACTCATAACCATCCCAGGAATGCCCAGCGAGTGGGCATTAGGGTTAAGTTTCCTCTTAAAATAGATTTGTTACTGTCGTGGCTTAAATGAAGTAATTCCATTTAAGCAACTGGGCTAGGTCATGATTCCCAATGCGATCTGATGTAATTCCCCTCCGTTTTATGGTGTGTGGTCAATCCTAACCACTCCACGTTAACGCAGCAGGATGGAAGTGGGGTATGTCTTGAGTCCCAGCCTTATAAGAGGGTGCCAATCAAGTCACACCCCGATCCAAGTCACACTTTTGCTTCTCTTGAGCAAGAAGCAAGAAGCAAGCAAAGGAGAGGGACCTCACTGCCACCAGGAGAAACAAGCCAGGATCAGATCCAGGCCTTTGAACCCATGATCCCTGGGTTGAGAACCTCCTAGACGAATGGTTTTCAACCTTCCTAATGCCACGACCTTTTAAGACAGTTCCTCATGTGTGGTGACCCCCCAACCATAAAATTATTTCATTGCTACTTTATCACTGGAATTCTGCTGCTGTTATGAATCAGGTGACCCCTGTGAAAGGGTCTTTCAACCCCAAAGGGGTCGTGACACACAGGTTGAGAACGCTGACCTAGACCCAGAGAAAGAGAGATGCCAACACACGTGCAGGTCTCCCAGGAGCTCCAGGCCCACAGAGACTGAGAGCTGACAACACAGAGCAAGCCTTCCCCTAGGGCAAGGGCCCTGAATTTGGATTTGTACTCCTGCACTTCGAAAGAATAAACGTCTGTCTGCTAAAGAATAAACGTCTGTTTGCTAAAGAATAAACTTCTGTTTGCTAAAGCCACCCACGAACAGGGTTCTGGCACAGCAGTATGAGATAAAGAAAAGGTATCCAAAGGAGCTGATGTTGAAAAGAACGAACACGCTCGAAAGAAAAAACGAACAAACGAGCAAGCTAGCTGCCGTGGGCCGAGTGGGTGTGGACCCAGAGCGAGCCTGCAGAGGGAGTATATCTGCCCGGTGGGTTTCTGAGTCTACACTTCTTTCTGGGAACGGAGCGGAGCACTGAGAGGATAGTCCACAGACCTTGGGGGCTGGCCCCTGGCATCACCCTCCTGCAGAATGTGAACACGCTCCCCGCTCAACCCCCACCCCCACACGGACCTTGGCTGATGCTGGTGCTGGCGGTGCTGCTGGCCGGGCGGGGCTCAGCGCTGGCGCCCCCTCCCCTGGGACAGAAGCCAGGTCTCCAAAGCAGGATTTGCAGCGCAGGACCGGCCTGCAACAGAAGCGGGGAGGAATGCGTTGGCCCCGTCTCACCCCCCACCCCGCAAGCCACCACGCGGCCTCTACACGACCACCACCTGCTCCCGAAACTCGGAGCTGGCCTACAGGGTGGATATTAGGGGTGTTGATGTACCTGCCTTAGGGGTGGGGTGGAGGTGGGGGTCTCCGGACCGTTGCCCTCCCTCCCCTCTTCATTGCCCTCTAGAGGCTCCCTAGTCCCTCCAGCCCCGCGCCCACGCGCCCCTGCACTCACCCGGGCCGGACCGCGCCCGAGGGGAAGTGGCAGCGCAGGTGAAAGGCGGCGGCGCAGTGTGCGCACCTGATGGCGTCCCTGCCGTCCCCGCACACGCTGCACCGCGCGCCGGCCGCTGCGCCCTGGAAACAGCGAGCGCCGCTGTCCGGAGCCCGCTCCCCAGGCAGCTTCCGCACGCGGACTGGACCGCGGGTCTCAGCGTGGAGAACCCAGTCCCGGGAGGTTAGGAATGGGCAGTGGGACCCTTGGTGGCTGTGACTGCCCAGGGAGTACCCAGCACCTGCCAGGGTGCAGCCCTGGGGCGTCAGGTACCCAGACTGCACTGCCCCCCCTTCAGGCTTGGGCCAGGGATCCCCAGAATAGGGCCACCCTCAAGAAAACAGCAGCAAGGGGCAGAGAATGAGGCAGGCTGTGCAGAAACTTGAGGGAGAGAGGCTGCCCAGCATGCTGGGCCACCCTCCCTTGTGTCTCACCTTGGGGATGGGGGGAGGGGGCAGGTGGGGGGGGGGGGTTGGGTTTGACTAGCTCAGGCCCAAGCTAGGGCAAGGTTTGCAGGGCCAAGGGACAATGTGCTACCTTCCCTTCCCTAAGACAGCCCTCTAGTGGCCTCCTTTCCTCTCACCCTGACATCTGGGGCCCAGAGGCCCCACCTTTCCCTCCTAAATGCTTTCTCTGGGCACCAAAGGCCACCCCACCCCCCACCTTCCCCAGGCTGCTCCCTCATAGCACTACCACCAACCACCCTTGGAATTTGTGTCCCTGATACTCACAACTTCTCCACACACACCCCTCCTGTCCCCTGGAATAACTAGCCCTTGTCTCTTTCTCTTCTGCTTTCAGCTGTCGATGCCCAAGTCACTGCCCCCACCCACCCTGGCAGACCCCCAGGGCCATCCACGAGCTCTCACCTGCTGTCCTTCAGCATTCACACACAGCAAGGGGCGCAGGGCAGAGGGGTCCAGCACAGGCAAGGGAGGTGCGGAGGGCGGGGGTAGCAGGTGCTTCAAGGTGAGAGCAGTATCCATTCCGGCTGGAAGCCCCTTGGGCAGGCCCCTCATCTCCTCCCCTGTGGGCCTCAGTCCCAGGAGGACCTGGAAGCAGAGGGGACGGCAGGGGGCTTGCCCAACACCAACCAGGGAGCCAGTGACATCGGGGGCCTGGGGAGCGCAGGGAGCTGGTGTGGCAGCCAGACCACTGGGAGGGTCCTGGGTTCCCCTCTTGGCTCTGTGGCCTTCAGCAAAGTCCTTTCTCTCACTCCTTCCAGAATAGGGCTATCCCCATGACCCCCCAGGGGCTCCATTCTCAGTTGATCCCAAGACATGGGAACTACCCCTTGGGTCTCTGGACTTCAACAGGCCTCTCAAAAGTAGATTTGCAGGAAATTAACCGTGGTCCAATGAAGCCAAGCCTCCAACCCCACAAGCCGACTGTTGTGTGGTCAGCTCCCCAATGGTCAGCGCCCGTGGGACTGAACTCCAGAAAAGCTGAGTCGGTGTGAGCTGAGAGAGCTATGGTCCTGTGGCTGGGGCAAGCAGGGACCACCTTGGGCCAGTGGTGGCCAGGAAGTAGGACTCCAGGGGGGCAAAGGGACAGGAGGGCAGCCCCCCTGGGAGGGGGCTTGTGCATACCGGGTTCTCCGAGGGAGGCTCCTGAAGCCGAGGCTGCTCTGTGTGTGCTGTGGGTGCGCCCTGCAAGGCTTTCCCCTGGAGGCAGCCGGAGCACCTCCAGGTCCCGCTGCCCATGTGGTGGCCAGTCACAGGTATGGGAGGACAAGGGAGAAGCACACAATGAGGGAGGCAACTCCGTTGAGAGAGAGGGAACTGAGGCCTAGGCATGTGGATGACAGGGCCACAGGGGCCACCTTCAGGAGAGTCAGGCAGCAGGGACCGTCACCCTGGTGGGTGGGTGTTTCCCTGAAGACCCCCAACCCCTGCTCACCACCGGGAGCTCCACCGCCACCCTCGGCCTTGCCCGCAAGCTGGGATGACTTATATCATCAGGACCAACCAGGTTTCCAAAGGGGACGGTGCCCAGCGGGGCTGAGAATGGATGGGAGAAGGACAAGCATCAAAGAGGAGCTGAGTGCAGACTCTCCTTTTAGAGATGGACCCATGGGAGCTCAGAGGGACGGAACTGGAAGCTAGGGCAGGGACAAGGCGAGAGCTGGGGTCTGTGGACTCCCACCTGATGCTCTTCCCCCAAGTCCACCCTGACCTATGGGAGCAAGTGGTGGCGGGCAGGACTGGGCAGGTGGGGTCCAGGGACCCTCAGATGTGGGTGGAGTTTTGTGCATTGGTGGACAGGACTCATCAGCTTTGCGGGGTACAGCTCTGGAGCTCCGTGCTCCTCACCGTGGGTGGATGGGACTTTTCTTGGGAGGAGGCCAGCTGACTATGGGCATACAGATGGGGATCTGGGCTCAGGACTTTGACTGGCCAGTGTGAGTGGGTGGGGAGCGTCCAAGGAAAACTCACTGCCGTCAAGTCGATTCTGACTCATAGTGACCCTACAGAGTAGAACAGACCCTGCGACTTCCCAAGACTGTACATCTTTACGGGAGGAGAAAACCTCACCTTTCTCCCAGCGTGAGTAGGTGTGGGCTGCTGACCTCGCTATGAGCTACTCAATACACAGCCCAGGGTTCCTTTTGGGTGGGGACATTTGGTGGTAAAACCCTGATCCCAGCCCACTGCCCAGGGGCCTAAGCCAGGGTTGGTCCCCCACCCCCATCCCCATCCACCTCAGGAAGTCCGGTCCCCACCTGTGCACTGGAGGGATTCTAGGGGGCTTCCCATGCAGGCTGAGGGTGCAAATGACTCAGAAGCAGGGTGGGGGTGGCCTGGTGAGTGGTGCAGGTGACCAGCGTGCTAGGCTCACCTGGGAATCTCCCGCAGCGGAGGACACAGGCAGGCCAGGTGGAAGGCCCGGGGGCAGCCGTCACAGCAGATAAGTTCCCCGCCGTCCCGGCAGACAGCACACTCGTCCTCGTTCTTCTGACACAGGACACAGGCACCATCCAGACTCCAGGGATGGCCAGCTGCCCTCCATCACAGCTCAGGGCCCCCGGACTCCCCAGGCACCCAGAGCCCCACCCTGGTCCCTAGCCCCACCTGAAATTCCACCTCTAGCCGCAGGGCTCCCTTGCAGCACGCCCTCTCTAAGGTGGGAGATTCCCCCCACCTGCCAAAACACCACACACACACACACACACACACACACACACACACACACACACCTCCCCCATGGGAAACTGTCTTCAGAAAGCCTGGCTTCGGTGGGTGATTCTTTTCTGGACCCTTCCTCACAAAGGCAATGGGGAGGCTGAGCCGTTGAGTGGTCAGCCTTGGATCCCCACAGTTCCTTACCTGGGACCCTCAACTTCCTGGCAGGCCTCCTGTCCCCTCAGGGTCCCTTCCAGAAGCACCCCAGCCCCACCCCCACCACAACAGGCTTTTTCCTGTACCATGTCCACCAGCTGAGAGCCCTGTGGCAGCCTGGGTCCTGTTTTCCCCTGGGTGTTGGGAGGGTCCCACCTCTTCCTGGAACAATGGCAGAACCCCAAAACCAAACTCACGGCCCTTGAATCAATTTGGACTCCCGGCAACACTGTCTGACAGGGTAGAACTGGCCAGTTGGAGTTTCTGAGATGGTAACACTCTACCAGAGTAGAAAGCTCGTCTTTCCCCCCCTCCCCCCCAGGAGTGATTCTAAACAGCTGACCTTGCAGTGAGCGGCCCGACAGGTAACCGCTGTGACACCGGAGCCGAGAGCCCAAGGACGCGCTCAATGCCTTGACAGGCCCTCGGATCCCTGATCCCTGGGCCCACATCATCGAGCTGTCCAGGGCTCTCAAGGCCAAAGGACTTCACTTTCTCTAAGTTTTCACAAGTGTGTGTGCTCAGAAAAATAATAATACATGCTGCCTGAGAAAGACAAGGCACCGCTTGTGACCCGAGTGCTCAGGACGGGGACAAGTCCTGTAGAAGAGCCCGCCTGAGGGCATTGTGGGGGTCATGGGGACTCTCCTCATGGTCTGGAGTGTTACCTGGTGGAGCTGGGGCTCACTCGGGAGGGCAACAGGGGCGGGAACCCTGCATTGCTGCCCCAGCCGTGGGTCACCTCCATTCTGCAGGGGGAAGAGGAGAGTTACCTGCAGGGGAGGCCACTTGGGCAAGAGGCCACGTAACCACCTCCCAGCAGCCCCTAGCAGAGCCCCTCGAGGCTGTGGGAGTGGGCTGCCCATCGGCAGGCCTTCCTGGGGACCATTAGGGACAGGCCTTGCTTACTGCTATGGTCTGGGCTCCTTTGGCTCGGACTAGAGGCTTCGAGCTTCCGCCACTGCGGGCTTTGTTCTTCCCGCCACTGCTGCCTGGGTCTTGGAACTTGCCAGGAGTGTAAAACTCGCCCCCTACCTGGATGCACTTCTTGGAGCCACCTGGGCAGAGAGAGGTGACAGGGTCTGGCCCTCCCTTGCCCTGACCCCGGACAAGAGCAGGTGGGTTTGGCACAGACGACTGTCAGCTTGCTCTTCCTCCTCCCGCACCTGACTCCTGACCCAGCTGAGTCCACAGCCAGGTGCTGGGCACAGGAGAGATCCCTGGTGGGGCACCCTAGGGACATTCCTTGGTGGAGTGAGGCCAGGGCTACAGGAGCCCTCTGCCCTCAGGGTTCTGGTTTGTGACCTACACAGAGAGCCGGAGGCACAGGCTGCGAGGGAATGACTGGGCCTCACAGTGGCCATGGCCCCAGTGGGCACGACTGTATCCTGAGCAGGTGGCCCTGGAAGGCGCTGGTGGACAGCTGCCGGCCTGCCGTGAAAGCAGGTTGTCCTCCTCCTGAGACTTAGGGGAGGAGCCAGGCAGTAAGAGGGGACCAGACCCCACCCCTCATGTGGGAACCCAAGAGGAGGTGATGTGGGGAGGTGGGAAGAAGAAGTTCAGGTTGAGGGAGAGAAGGGGTGGGGTGGGGGGTGTCACAGGGCCAGAGGCCCGTGCACACACTTCAGGGGCTGTGGAGGAACCACTGCATGGGTGGAGGTAATCCAGGCACATTGGTCCCACATCCCCTCCCTCCCCACCCGGAATGCTCCTCTCCTACCCTACCAACCTCCAAGAAGGTCCCCTCGGCCTGCTCCTCTGCTCCACAGCTGGCAGCGCCACAAAGCCGGCATGTCTCCCTGGCAGCCCTCTGCCCGCCCCCACCCCCAGCACTCCGGGCGTACCGGACTCAAACACCTGCTGGATCAGGATGCCCTCCACAGCCCCACGGGCTCCAGGGACATCCCCGGAGGACATCGTTACGGCGCGCTGCACCGACGCAGACATGGTCTGGATTCCTGCAGAAGGAAGGGGCCGTACAGTAGGGGTCTGTCAATCCCGGGGATGATCCAGAGCACCCAGACAGGACACACAGGGCAGGAGGGAGCAGGGCCTCACACACAGGGACTGCACACAGTGACAGCGAACACACTGAGAGACTTCTACTGTGGGGGGTGGGGACAGAGTCCACAGCGGTAGGGGTGACCAGGACAGGACGGTCTCTCCAGTGACACCTCCCTGTGCTGGGGCTGGGGACACAGGGCCACTCCCAGGTTCGCCCCCAGGTAGGACTGCTGGGACTAAGTGACAACACCCCTGGGGAGGGGGCAGAAAAGTGCCAGGTTGCATTCAGCTAGTGACCAGGGATGCCACAAGCAGGCAGCAGCATTCACAGGGGTCTTGAGGAGTGCCCAGGCTGTGGGTGTGGCCATGGGTGGGGCAGGACCTCCCAGTTCCTAGAACAGCATGATCCAGAGGGGGCAGGGGTGGGGGGCAGAGGAGTGGAGTGGAGTGCAGGGCCCAGGAGGGGCAGTGGGCCCCTGGGAGGCTGGGACTGTGCACCAGTGAAGTGCAGCAGTAGTCTGGGGGGCAGGCACCTTGCAATCACCTCATACGTAAAGTTTCCTGAGGAGGGCTGAGGGAGGCAGGGAATCGTATAGGATATATTGTTCTCAGGCCCATTCTGGGGGTCCCAGCCCAATGTCTGGATGGGCCCAGAAGACTCAGTCCCAGCTGGGCTCTCAAGGCTGGGGGCCAAGTGAGGACCTGTCCTTGGGGGACTCATTCTTGGTCACCCAGGAGCACAAGCAGCCCCCGAGAAGACTTCTGAGCGGACCAAAGACCCTGGCAGGCAACTGCAGGATTCGGACCCCCACGAGTGGGGATGACAGGAGGAGAGCAGGAGAAGAAGGTTCTGGAAGCAGAGGGTGAGAGAGTGAATTGCTGAGAGACTGTGGACTGTGGGCTGAGGAGACAGGAGAGAGACCAGCATTGAGATATTGGGCGGAGAGTGTCAGAACCAGGTGCTGAGACGTGGGCCCACTGGGTAATGGTGACCCACAAGCTCCTATTAGGGCTCTAAGCACGGGGCTGGCTGTGTGGCCCGGGCACCCAACTTGCTCAATCCAATGCCCAGGAGATCCCTTAGAGAATGGACAGCCCTGCCCCAGCCCCACAGGGACCTCGCTCACCGCTGCTCAGGGGTGGATGTGGAGGTTCCATGCTGTTCTCCTGCTTCTTGGAGGACTTTGCCTTGGATTGGGAACCTGGAGAGGGGGCTAGAGGCAGCCCAGAAGGGGGCCACGCTAGAAGGGGGTGGGAGTGGAGGCGGGTGGCTTGGAGATGTGAGGGTGTTAGGGGAATGGGAGGGGGGAGGGCAGCCTTCACTTTGCCAGGTTCTAATTTCCTCAGCGGTAATACAGAAGTAAAACCCACCTGCCTACTTCACAGCCCCCTGGGGGTGGGGCAGGAAGGAGCCTGGGGCTCACCCTGTGAACCCAGCCAATTACACAGAGGGGAAACAGAGGCAGAAGGAGCCAGGCCCTCTGCAGCTCCAGCCCAGGCTGGTGAGTCGGAAGCCAGTGGGGAGCACTGAGGGTGTCAAGCTCCCAGGGGAGATGTTTAGGTACCTGGACTGGAGCTGCCCCTCGGGGAAAGGGTGGCTGTCGGGGTGGCCCGGGGCTCCTCCTGAACCTTCCTCTTGGCAGGGGGTTTGGGTGGCAGTATGGAGACCTTTGGCACCGTGGGAGGCTTCCTCCCCTTTCGAGCCTGGCTGAGGTCCACATCTGCAGGTGGGGGCAAGAGCAGGAGCCAAGCCTCAGGGGTTACCTCAAGGGCTGGGTCTCTCCAACAAGGCGTCTTAGAATCCACGACCTCTTAAAAATAAACTAAAAATTAAAGAAAGGAGAGGGCCAAAGTAGAAAGAAAATGTTTTGGAAATGATGATGGCAACATAGGTACACATGTGCTTGACACAATGGATGGATGGATGGATGGATGGATGGATGGATGGATGGATGGATGGATGCATGGATTGTGGTAAGAGCTATAAGAGCCCCCAATAAAATGATTTTTAAAAAATAGAAAAAGGATCCAAGACCTCCTGTGATCCCTGTCCCACCCCTGTCTTCCAGCTCACTGCCCAACAGGACACCAGGGCTCCCCTAACCCCTAGGAGGCTGAGCTGGCCAGGACTCAGAGGCCAACCCAGACCCCACCGGCCTGGCCCCACCTTTAGGGAAGCTGTCTCGGATGGGCTGCAGTCGGGCGTATCTCTCCAGGTTGTAGTCCTTGAACAACACCCTCCAGAAGTCCAGGATGGCTGTAGCGTCCTGGGTCAGGAGCCAGGAGAGGAGGGCGTGGAAGGCCTGAGGACAACCCTCCCTGTCCTTCAGGCTCAGCGTCTCCTGAAGCAAGACCAGAGGAGTGCTTCTAGGGCCCCTGGTCCCTCCAGCATGGGCCTAGAGGATGAGCACCCCCGACCCGGAGAGGCCCAGTCCGGGAGCGGGGTGTGGGGGTTGCTGTGGGCACGCTGAAGGCAGGGGGCCCACCTGGAACTTGTCCTCCGGGACCACGTCGTGGTCTGCCAGCGCGTGCAGCAGCGGGAAGGCGCTGTCCACGGCCACAGCGATCTCCGTGCGATGCAGTCTCAGGAGGCGGCGAAGCACCGCGTCCCCGCCCGACCGCGACTCACCGGCCATGCGTCCGCCCTGGGCCCTCCAGCCTCAGCGTCCAGGGGGATGTGGCGTCGTCGTGGGGACCTGAAGGCAGTCGGATCTCAGGTTCCTAGGCGTCACAGGGTCCTGGAAGGGACCCGAACTCAGCGCGTGGTGCGGCCACCAAGGGATCCCGCCAATTCCTTTCCGTCCTTTGCTCTGGCCTAGCGGGTCCTGGGCCGCCCAGGTGAGGTGAATTTCTTGGCTTCTGAACAGACCCTGTCCTCCTGCTGCCTTTGCTCAGAGAGCTGTCCAGGTGGGGATGGGGAGCCGGCTATCTGCGCCTCCCACGGAAAGGGCTGAGCCCGGGGCCATGTCATACCAGGCTGGGCCCTCCGCAGAGCTTGGGGAGCCAACCAGGGCAGCCCAGCGGGATGGGGGTGTGGCTCGAGGTGGGGGAGGAGGAGATTCACTGCCCCAAAGATTAACGAGCCCATCTCCACCCACCCCAAGTCCCCCTGCCTGGCTGTGGCTCTTCTTTCCATTGTGAACGATGCTTCCAAGCTTCAGGTCTGGCTGACTTGCCCACAGGGTTTGCTATTCTGGGGCCCGGGCCCCCAACTCGGTCAAAGGGAGGGCCAGACCCTCTCCCTGCCCCACACTCGGCCCTAGCCAGGGGCCATTCTGCACCCAGAGGGCCCTGTGCAGATGAAGGAGCCAGAAAGACATGCCCTCTGCCTGGCTTCGGGCTCAGATGCAGAGCACCAGAAGGGGTGCGTCCAGGTGTAGGGGTCCCGCAGGGGCACTGGCGAGGGCTGTGGGCACTGTTGGTGCTGCAGACGGCGGGGGGATGGGGGGACGTGACAGCCCAATGGTGGGCTGCCTCTGTCCTCTTGGAGTCTTTCCTGCCTTCACTCCTATCCGGGCACCTGAGTGGGTGGAGCGATCATTGAGTGGGCACTACCTGAGTGGCCTAGATTCAGAGCCTTGCCTGTCTCTCCACCTGTGCCTTTCTCTGCGCCTCTGACACCTTCGTCGGGAAGACTCCAGCCCTCACCCTCCTCCCGTCCGGTGTGCCCAGTCCAGAGGACAGCAGCTGGGCCTCATGCAGATGCTGCCATTGTGTGGACCACGGGCACACCTTGTTTGGCTGCCGCCCGACAAAGAATACCCTAGGGTGGGTGATGGGAATGGGGAGGCTGATGAGAAACTTTCCTGGAGACGTGGGTGGGCTTTCTGGGGGGGAACAGATGAAGAAGGACACCCCCCCACCCCACCCCCGCAGGCCAAGCATGTGTGAGCAGAGGGGCTGAGCGACCGGTGGCCGGCTGCAAGGCAAGGCCTGGAGGGTAGGATGTCACCTGACAGGGTGTATTAGTCTTGGTACTTTGGGGAAACAAATCCACAGCGACTCATGTATAAGAGAGTTTTACGTAAAGAAAAGGTGCATCACGCAAACATCCCAACCCAATGCTGCCCAAGCCCACAAGTCCAACATTAACCCACTAACCCAACACCAGTCCACAAAGTCCTCCACCTCACAAAACAGAGGCAATGATGCCGACTGCAGGAGGAAAGCTGAGTCAGTGAACGAACAAGCATCTCAGCACTAGCAAGGGTCTCCACACGGCTGCTCCAGCACCCAGGGCTGCATCGGGATAGATCCATGCGGCTTCTCCTTGGGGATGTCTTGTAGGAAGTCAATCTTGCAAGCTGAAGCAGGAAACTGCTAAGGCAGCTGCACCCGATACAACCATCACAAAACAAGAGACCTGAGAACTAGAAAGGCGAGGCTTCACCACCCATTTATCCCTCCGCCTTTCAACCAGACCCACATGTGATTATTGGCCAGGCTGGCACAATTAACTAACTCACAGGGAGACCCATCAGTCTGACAGAGGACATCCAGTCAGTGAGGAGGACCCGGCCCACAGGCCACAGGGACAAAGGAGGACTTGCGTGGTCAGGGGACATGAACAGTCAGGGGTCATGAATTGTCGGGCTTGTTAGCCAGATCCTTCTGGAGACTTGGGGGCTGGGGCAGTCGAGGACATGGTTCCAGAAAGACCTGGAAGAGCTTCCCTCTGAAGGAAGGTCTCAGGAGAAAGTTCCCATCAACCTTTGCTCTGTGCAGCCTGGTGGGTTTTCTCCTTATTTGGTGAAGCATTTATCCAGCAACTCAGTAGCCTCGGGGCAGCAACGAGAGGGGAATTAAAAAGTGCAGAGGAAGACCAAAGTCTATGCTTCACCTTTCCTAAGAGCCCTGGCATCTGCAGGTGCGCTGTGTCCTCTCACCCCCGGAGGCCTGGGGCCTGCTTAGCCAGCGACTCCTGTAGAATTCTGGACTTTCCAGACTCTGTGGGGGTTTCCATGGCAACCACTTGTCTCACCAGCAGGTGCCTGGAATGGCTGAGGACCTACATACAAGGTGTGGGCCTGGTCCTGCCTGCCTTCCCCATCTGGGTCCATGTGAGACCCCCATGCAGTGGTGTATTCCGGCTGGCCCTACTTTCGGAGCTCCCTGCGGGCCGCAGGCTGCAGCCCTCACCCTCAGCATCCTGTTGGGTGAGCATCACTGTCTGACTTGGGCAGGCCACCTATGGCCTGCTCCAGGCTCTGGTCTCCTCCCATCGCAGCCTGTATTAGTCTAGGTACTTTGGAGAAACAAATCCACAGCAACTCATATATAAGAGAGAGTTTTATGTAAAGAAAAGGTGCATCACGCAAACATCCCAACCCAATGCTGCCCAAGCCCACAAGTCCAACATTAACCCATTAACCCAACA